GTGTGATTTGGGTGTGAACAGTGATGTAGGTCAGTGATTTTTAATAGGTGGTGAACATTTTAATGTGATTCGTGTGATTTGGGTGCGACCCTGTGGACACCAGAAAAGGTGGTGATTTATGTGCCCAACCACTTTGGAGGTTCCTGAAGATTCATGGCCATGTGATTTGGGTTTGTCAATTTTCGAGGCCCGATAGCCCTGGTTTGCTTGTTTAGGCAAACCATTCCAGGAAAACCGAAATCTATGTGCATGTACAGGTCCATGAGCTTGCAACTTGCGGGTTTGTCTCATTCAAGCCCAGACTTGGCAGTTTCCCTCTGTCCGGTGCGTCCAACAAGATGGGCATTGCAGCGGTCCGGAAGCTGCCCGTTCTCAAGCGACGGCGAAAAGAAAGAGCTTCTTCGCCAAGGGAATCCCAGAGGGCTCATGCCATGAGCAATGAGCTTTGAGTGTTGGGCGGAGTTGTTCCAGAGTATCTTCCGGAAGCTCAAAGTTTCCGCTCCCTGGGGGAAAAATAAGCTCAGGTGATATCCCCAACAGCATGCGGTGCTCTTTTTAGTGCTCGCACCACCCCTATCTGGGTTGACACCCCCAAAGCTTCCAGCTGTTGGGGAAAAAAGCAAGAAAGAGGAGTACACGTCACAGGGAGAGAGAGTGTGCGAGCTTTTTGCATTGAGGCCAAATCCAAAGCAGCTGCTGGCGGTGTGCACCATGTGAAGCCCTGTTCAGCCGAACCCTTTTGGATGAACCCAGGGTCTTCCCCCCTGGTTTCTATGGACCGGGTTTCTCGACCGATACGCTCAGCGGGAGCTTGTCCACATGACTTTGGACCATCTTTTTGTTTAACGGGAAGCCACACCCAGCGCTTCCAGGCAAAACACTATAGGCTTGCAACCCAGGCGACACCATCCATGGTAATTCCTGGTGAGGATCCCTGGGCAAGCCTCCTAGAGCTTCAACAGAAACATCTCGCAGGGTTACCTACAGTGACTCGCCTTCACCGGGAAGTTTGGAACATCTTGGGCTTCCAGAAACTCTCCCACGGAATGAAGGAGCCCTCAGATTTATTTATTTTTGGTGTCACTTTCTGGAGCCAGGGAGCTGTCCAGTGCTGTGCGCTTGGAGATCATCGAAGAGTTATTCCCAGCCGCTGGGCAGTAGAGGGCAGCAGAGGGCAGCAGAGGGCAGCAGACATGTTTCAGGCTGCGGTCCACTTCTGGGGTTCGGTGCCCCAACGGTTGTGGGGTGAGTCTGTGGCGATATGGGTGTGGGTCAAATTAAACCTCTAGGATATGGACCGCATGTTTTAGTCCTTGGCTCCATTTACCAGGGCAAGCCATTTTGGTTTCCGATTTTTGACAACAGCCATGTGTGAAGTGGAATTTTCCCGTTTTCGCAGGCTGACAAGATCCTGTTGACGGGTGCCTTCCCCCTTTTTGGGAGCATACTCGTTACCTTGTCTTGTTTTGTCTTCCAATGCATTTCGAAGGATTTGTTTGCAGAAGGGCGCTAGCACTTTTTTGCACAGAGGTTTCTTGCAGGGAAGACTCTTGGACATATCTTGTTCAGGCTTCTTGCATAGACTTTTGGTGCACCGACTTGCGCAGACGAACCCCCCTTGGAGGGGCCCGGACCCCTTTGGGGAAGTCAACCACCCCGGCAGTTTTCGTTGGGGGCTTAGGTTTTTGACAAATGGGTGTGCCTTGAAAAACCAACAAGAATGGGTACCTCAAAGAAAGATTTTACCCAAATGGCACCCCAATAAACAAGGAGGGGGCAGAGGGAAGCCGATCTTTCCGCACATTCTCAGCCCTACCTGGAACCGCAAGTAGCCACTGTTTCCAGCCACTTTACCCTCCAAAGAGGTAAGCTTCCTTTGGGTGTCCTTTCTCAACGCAAAAGAGGTTCCCCAAAACAAGGCACGCCCAGGGCTTTGCCACTCCATACCGAGGACTGGAACAAGGCTTTGGAGCGAATGAACGATGGCCCACGCCAGCCGGCTCTCAAGGAGCCGGCGATTGCTCTCTGGGAGTTAGCCGAGTTTTCGGTTTTCGGGAGGATTGCCTAGGTCCCCCAGCAGTGCCCTTTTACCGTCTCTTTTTTGGGGGAGGGTTCCCCTACTAAAATAGACTACAGAAAAAAGGGTTCCCTTATTCTATCCTCTCTACTGGAGGACACATTTGCATAGGCAGCGAATGAGACATGGAATGACCCGACAAAAAAAGATAATCCAGCTGGTGGTTTCCTGTCAGGTTCCCCTACGCACCAGTAAGATAAGGGCCGGAAGAAGTAGGGTTGTGTGCTCCAAGCGCAACATCAGGTCATGGCCATAGGCCAGTAATTCTTCGGCCTATGGCTCAAATTGGATCGGGGCCTAGGCATTGCGGGACGTTTGGCTCAAGGACCTATAGCGGAAGATCTGATCACAAAAAGGCGCCCGGCCGCACTGGTGAGGTGTTTTTTTCTCGAAATGGTCTAGTGTGTTGGGAATTCCCTGTAAATACCAACAAAATTTGTTGGGCATCTACGTTTGAGAAGCCCTGTGAGTCACCTGGCTCCGGCCTTCCTTTTGTTCGCGCGCTCGCGCCCGAAGCGCCCGAAGCGCGCGCCATGGCGACCTCCAACGAGTTGGGGACTGCGGCGAAGGAGTTCTTGCGACTGCTGAGCAAGCCTCGGATTCAATCCGAGATGTTCAAGTGCACGCAAGCAGATTGGCCGCGTGGCCGAAAGGCTGCAACGGGCAAGGTCTTTGACAAGTTTTAAGGTGGGAAGTGGGGTGGGGGCATAGAATATCCGATGTTATGACGGGAAGAGTGACCAGTGATTGTCCAGAATGTGGGGGTTGGGCGAAGCGTCCAGATTTGTCAACAGAAACATTGGGGAACCGGAAACTTCCCTCAAAAGCTAGGAGACGAACAAATCGTCCAATGTCCCCTCGTGACAAGAGGTGACTAGATGTACCCCTCCTGTCCACTAACATGGAACCAACTAGAGAGTGCCTTTTAAAGGAAGCGCTTTGCGTCAGGTTTCACGGCAACGCGGCTGGGTAATTCCGATCGTTCAGTCGGTAGTGGGTTAGAGCAGGCGCTGTGCTTCAGCGGGTGCCGGCATCCATTCCGGTGGGTGGTTCTCTCCGGTTCTGGAACACCCGAAAAGCGCTTTGGTGGTCCAACTCTCCTGAAAGGGCCAACACAGGAACCCATGTTCCAGCTCTTGAGGAGCCTTTTGCATTGGAATCACGAGGGTTTTGAAGGCACACAGCACCCATCTGGGTACGGGTCAAAAGCAAACCACCGGGGGAATGCCGAGTTTAGCCCATGTTTCCATTTACCATGGGTGCATTTTTGGGCACCTATATTTGACCCACACCCTTATGGGTGTGGGTTTCCTTTCATCCTTCAAGGGGATAGACATGTCGCGACTGACACGTCCTTGAGGTACTCGGCCTTTGAGCGATGGGACGTCCTCTACGTCTGGGCACTTCTGGTGGTGTCTCTCCTTCTCTGGGCCTTGCGCGTCATCTCGGAGCTGGCTAGGCCCGCCCTGGGCCCCACGTTGCTGTGGCACCAGGAGAATAATCTTCCATCCCACAAATGCCATGTTAGTGGGGGGCGGAAAGGCATGAATTTATTTTAGGGTCGACCAAACACGAATCAGAGTCAGACAATAGTATGCTTCTTGACCCTTTTCGGGCGTGGTTTGGAGGGAAACAAAGCATGCCCACCGTGTTGGAGGTACTCCCATCTTGACACCCACCCAAATGGCTTCCAAAACCTGGGTTCCTGTCGGATGCTACATGATTGTCCCCGAGAAACGAGACTGAAACATGTCACAGCCTGTGATTGCACGGGCGGGCAGTTTTGCAGGAGGGATGCGTGCGGCAAATAGCTCATGTGGACAATCTGCTTGATTCCAATGCCTGTATCGTCAAACTGCCTATCTCATGGCGAGCTCAACTGGGGGTAAAAGGATCTCACCATGATTTAGGTCCTTCACTGGAGGATCTCTGAAGGACCTCTTGCAGGCTTGGAATTGTTGTATAATTGTTGCACAGACAGACACCTCATTTGAGAATTGAATTCAGCGGCATGACGCAATCTCCGAGCTTGGGGTAATTCAAGTGGATGTTTCTAGAGCAAGATGGAGTTGCAGTGCACCTTCAGGCCATGCTTGAGACTTGGCTTGCTCTTCCTTTTGGTTATCCTCAGCCAACATGAGCACTCGGACAGGTGGGTATGGGTCAAAATTAAACCCCAGGGGACCGCAGGTTTTAGTCCATGTGTCCATTTGCCAGGGTTGCGTTTTGAGTACCTATTTTTGACCCACAGCCAGGTAGGCTCATCTTGAAGTGAAGTCCTTGACTGTTCCAGATTTTTTGACAGCCCGCCCCCCCTCCCCGAACCATGAGCCAGCCCCCGTGTCAAGCCTCAGCCGCCAGTTTCAAGCTTGTCACGCTCGTGACGGATATTGCGTACACCTTGGCAGCTCGGCATAATATTCGAAAAGCAAATGGCCTCCATGTGTCGGGCGACATTGAGAAGACATGGGAAAGCTGTGCGGTGAAACAACCTTTCCATCATTCAATCGGCCATCTCAAACAGCAACGCTAAACTTGAAAAACCTGAGAATTAAACCCCCAAGTCTACCTTCCAACCTCAAAGCTTCAAACAAAATCCGATCAGCCCATTCTGCACATTGTAACAATACGTCCAAAGCCTGAAACACAAAAATTAGATGCACGAATACAGGACTCACATCGTGGGTGCTCGCTCTCACCCCTGATCAGTGAGCTCACCATAAAATAGGCAGTTGCCGAGTATGCGGCCGGAGCAAGCACGCCCCAGGAAGTGTCCCATCGTCCTCTGAGCACCAAATCTTCGCCAAATCTGGTTGGTTTGCACCGGTGACTCCTGATCGGAGGTTGGTGGCTTGATGTTACCTGAAGCTCGCGGCGACAATACAGGGATCCCTAGTTTCAGGCTGCAGAAAGATTGCGAGGCATGCCTCAGGTGCATAGCTGTCCTTTTGAGGTATAGTTTTTTAGAAATAGATGGGGGAACCCACTGGTTTAGCTTGGTATTCCATTTACCAGGGAAGCCCATATCCATTTTTGCAAAGAAATGTCACCTGTGCCTTCCATTTGCTTAAGAAGATTTATTTTTCCCTGCTGGTCATAGTTTTCTCATTTTTTCCAGTCTTAACCAAATGGAAGATGCTCAGGTGGATCTGCTGCTCTTCACGATCTTAAACGGCATCTCCTGGTACTGCGTGGTGAAGCGCTTAGGCTGCTGCGGCAGAGCCGGGTACTTGGTCTGGGCCGCGGTCTACGTCTTGCTGAACCTGGGCCGGCTGCAAGCCATCTCCTGGACCGGAAGCAGTGCGCGAGCGATGGCTCATCCCCGTGGGAAAACGGGATACCCTGGTTGGGAGTCTAGCTCCCCCGGCTAGGTGCCCTTTCTCACTTCTTTTTTGGTTGGGAGGGTTCCCCTACTAAAATAGACTACAGGAAAAAAGGGTACCCTTCTTCTAACCTCTCTACTAAAAAACTCAGGAGTGACGGATGCCCGATTGGGGAGTTCACCAAAATGGAGAACCACCCCCCCTTTTGGTGTTTAAAGAACGCCCCAAGCGCGGCTTTCTTTTATTTGACCTCCCAGGAGCTCCTGCTACCTCATTTACTTGCTGATGATAGTTCCAGCAGGTGACTAGGCGGCAAGACGGCCTTTTTTTGGGCACAGAGAAGTACCTGACAAAACTTTGGGCTGTCTACAAGTAGTTTGGGGCTACATTCCAGCTGATGTTTAAAGCTGGCTGATGAATCAACCTGGTGGATTCACCAGTGACAAGAGGAACTACAGGTCCATAAAAGTGACATCTTTGATTTTATCCTCTACATCGTGGTTTAAAGAGTGACCACCCCCTAAAGTAATTTGCTGAACCAACGGACATATGTTGCGATTATTGGAGGGTCAATTTGCGGATGCCACTTTCATGGACCCATATTTCCTTCTGTCACTAGTAAACCCATCATAATTCCTCAGCCAGGTTTTTTTTCCAGGAATTCAGATGCCCTATCTTTTGGGGGAGACATCTTGTCACTGGTAAAGCCACTCGCCCCAAGGTTTTGGGGAGACAAAACCATCGCCAGACTTCGTCAGGGTTTTTTTGGGCTCGAGATGTGCAAAAAGCCATCCGAGGCTACATGGTGGTGGCGCTGATTCAGCTCTTCCGTGGCGCTCCACGGGGCCTGCTGAGCGGCTAGGGTCTGCGAATGACTCGAGTCAGAATGGTCATACCGTCATACCCCCCCCATGTAACTTGACTGCTGCTTGGTTGGATCTCAAGAATCCTCTTCACGGTTTTGGTGGAGCAAATTCATTTTTTCCTCTTGATTCGCTTTGTGCATGGCAGCAAAGGATCCCTCATTGACACTCCTATCGGCCCGAGGCATCGCTTGAAAAGAGCGGCGCTGTAGATGATTTAGCGGAGCTTGTGGTGTTTTTTGGACGTATGCTTTGAGAAACGATTCATCCCTTGGGTTTACTCACCTTCCATCGATTCGCCCCGATTGGACATGAATTCATCTGTTCAGGAATTTGTTTCGCGTTGTGAGTGCCTTGCCTAAACGCTGGGCCGGTAGGCTCGCTCATTGAGGTTCCATCGCGACACAGATAGGCTGAGCCTATACGGGAGTTCTCAAACGACGCTTTTTGGTGCGAGTTTAAGCAAAGGCCAAAACCATTTTGGAGGGACCCCAATTTGAGAAGCGTATGTGTAGCGACTGGAGTTTGGACGACTATTCAACAGATCTAAAACAAAACCTTCTTCTTGCTGGCTCCAGCGGGCTCCAGGCGGTTCATACCACACATGTCGACCAGCACCGACTTCAGTTGCACTAAGCCTCAGGCTTTGAACGGCCAAAATGCCTCAGCATTTTGGTTTCTAAATCGGTGCGTCTCAAAATCAGGGGACCCAACTTTCCCTTTGGTTTAAGGCAGTGGGATCAAGGGGTATATCCCCACTTCTGTGAAACTTTTGGGAACTCCCCCTTTAATTTGCGGGGGGGGGTTGAACGTCTTTGGGGTTAGGCCCTTTCTGTTGCAGATTCGTGGATTCCGCCCTGGTTCCAACAACCGGCGCATGGAACTCCCAAAACACTGGGGACAAGCCCCCACACACTGGCGCTCAGCACCCAAAATTTTCACCAAACAAATTCCCTTGGTTTCCCCTTGGTTTCCCTTGGTTTCCCTTGGTTTCCCTTGGTTTCCCCTTGGTTTCCCTTGGTTTCCCTTGGTTTCCCTTTGGTTTCCCTTGGTTTCCCCTTACCACCAGGAGTTCCCTAAACCCGGCGCCGCTTTCCGCCGCAGGCGCCGCGTTTTTTGCGTCTTCCGAAGCGCGCCAGGAGCTGCTCCACGCCTACGACGTGGCCGCGATTCTGACGCTCTACAACGACCTCTGCCGCGAGGAGGCCTCAACGTTGCTTCTGTCGTTTCTCTTCGCGGCGGAGCGATGCGCATCCTTTTCAGGCAAGTTTGGTGAAAAATCGATGGGTTCCACTTGTTTAGATGGGTTTGTTCCATTTGCCAGGGCCATCGATTTGTCCAAAAGGCCACCTATGGCGGAGCGATGCGCGTAGCATGGGTTAAAGGTTGCCGGCTCCCCGGGGCTCTGTGCAGAGCTCCGGGTTTCTTTTGGAGCTGGGAAGCCAAGTGCCTGTGCGGGGACTTAAATACGCCTACCGCAATAAGAAGAGGAGCCGTCAACCTTTGGATGCATCCAGTTCAAGCCATCCGCTGGTGACGACGGAAGCCGCTGTTGTGCTATGCCCTATATATATATACACATATTTCTAGTGTCTTGTTTTTGAAGGAAACCCCTTGTTGGCTTGTTTTAAAGGGAGCCCAAAAGGAAACACGCCTTTTTGGGAGTTCCCCTATTTCGAGAGACACCCAATTGCAGAACCAGACGGTGATTGGTCGCGCAGGGGTCCACCTCCCACAGCATCAAGGCCGGGCGCGGAATCCTTCGGATGGGGCAGGAAGGTAGCTTTCTTAAAACATTTTTAGCAGTTTGTGGGGGTTCTGACAAAAGATAAGAAACACAACAAAGAGCAGGAAACAAAATCACCCGGACAAAACAAAACTGCTTGAAGCACACACACACACACACAGCACTGCTACCTAGTAGCTCTTGGACAAAAAGGCGACGCAATGCACATGGGAACTGAGGCCAAGGCATGAAACACGTGGCGCATGCGCAGCATGACACACTTGCCGGGCTCATTTTGCTTGCAAGTGCTATCTAACCAGCTTTCAGCCTGGTAGGTGTTTGTATGCATCTAAACGGCTGTGGTTCTTCTTTGTCCTTTTCGTTCCCCAAGGGATCAAACAATTGCCGAACATGAGCAAACCATTCGTGGGTTATCGCAGGAAAATTCCTTGATGCACCAACGACTCCCAGACATAGGTGTGCTTTTTAGGTTGGTTTGCTTAAAAAATAGAGGGCCCTGGTTTAGATGGGGTTTATTCCATTTACCAGGGCCATCGATTTTTCAAAAGGCCACCTATGCTCCCAGATATGATTAGTGGATCGCCCACTCACTTCCATGTACTTCAGGATTGGTCCGAGCTCTCGGGAATTGTCCGATTCGCGCCCGCAGGATAGCTGGGAATGCAAGCTCTATGACATCAAGGTGACATCCCCTTCAGGTGCGGGGCCCGGCCCGGCAAATTATTTTGCCGGACTAATCTGTGGGTGTTGGTTTTGTTGAGGGTATTGAAGGTTGTTTTGCAGGGAACCCAAATAGGAAGCCACTGATTTCAAATGGGGTTCCCCCCCCATTGTTGACGCATACATTTTGTTCAAGCCCTCTCCTTCAGATTCACAGCAGCATTGCGCCGGTCGCTTTTGCTTAGAAAGCCGTCTTTGTCAGCTCTATGTCTTTTTGCAACATCCTGCTTCACAGCTTGTCACGCATTGGCTTCGCTTCTCCAGTTCTCGAAATTCTACTGGTACCTTCCCCATTCTTTCCAGGGATCCGAATCTTTCCAGGAAACCATCAAAAGCCCAGGGGAAACAGCCGGTTTTTGAAAAGACCGATGGTTGAAAAGAATGGAATCGGAATCAACCCCTAGAGCAAAGAGCTTTTTCGATCGCTCCTTCTCGCAAGGTGAAGCTTGGTCAAGGGGGCCCGTGAAGGTATCCCCAGGCGGCACAATGCACCAGTTCCCAGGGTCCCAATATGTTCTTCCATTTGCTTAAGTTTTTTTTTTTTTTTTTTTTTATCTATCACTATTGGACATATGTTTATTTTGTCCAGGGGGCTTAAGCAAATGGAAGTGTTTGACAACGAGAGTTTATGTAAATTCATGTTTATTTTTTTAGGTGGGACCACTTTTCTCGCTGAAGGTAAAGCTAACAGCTGGTTCATCTTCTTCCAATGCGTTCCCAGTTCATGTTGTTCTATTTATTTTATTTTTTTAACGGGAGTTTCTTGCTAGAGTCAGACAATGGTTTTCAGCTTGAACAGCACATCTATGGAACACCTTTGAGCAGCGTCAAGTGGATCGACTGTGACCTTCAACAAAGGTCGGTTGAAGCTCACATATCTTGACACGTGGATGGACACACTCCTGCACCAGCTGGCAGGTGGTTTATCTATATTCAATGCGGTTTGTCCATTCAAACTGGCGCGAAATAGATTTCGTAACCATCCACATGTTGATATGGCCATGAATTATGGAAAATGGAAAGCGGCTGAAAGGTGGTTGGTGGACATAACTCCCCACCGAATTCTGATGTCCACCACGGGGTCCTGAGTGGAATTCATTCCCAGATTTGCCCGGTTTAAGGCTTAAGGCTCTCCAGCCATTTAGATTTGATGGTCCACCAAAGCGTGCTTAGCCCTGACTGGGTCTGATTTGACACTCGAGTCATCTGATTTGACTCAGCGAGGTGACGTGGAGTGGGATCCAGTGGTGCCCTGGCCCAGTGGGATTCGGGGGGTACCTTTCCCCCTGCGTTGCCATGGCTCTTGAGGGGGTCACTTCAAGAGAAACTTGATATAAATTGATCTTCTAGTTACCCTTTGACAGGTGCGATTTTTGCTAGTGGGAGGCTGGCTACCCCTTTTTTGCGGTGAAAGGAAGCGAACAGGAAAACCGAAGTCATTTTTTCTTTGGGGGGAGTCTGTGAAAAAAACATGCGCAATTGAATCTTGATGATCCTGTGGACATGGGGCTTATGTCCAGCTACCAATGAGGGGGTGCCAACTCTGAACATTCCCGATTTGGCTGCGGGAACAAACCCGAGGGGCCCAGAAGCTTTGAACCGCCCACCCCGGAAATATGTTTGAAATCTGTTTTTTTTTTGGGTTGGAGCATCATCAAATTCCGCAAATGGCACATGCAACACCCCCTGACCAACGGATCGCGTTTGCGAGATCATCATCTTTTCATCAGTCTCCGATCACCGGCCAACGGGGTAACCAAGGAATAGACGCGGGAGCATCAAGCAGTAACATGTCAAGCATCAATCCAGGCATCCGAGATAGAAGAAAGTCCATCTCTGCAAATTCACTCCCAAAAGGAGATTCCTCTCTAGAAGTTTGGAATGGATCTTTAGCTGGGTTCCGTGTTCATCTGTGCTTTTGCGGTTGACACATGGCTTTGAGAAGCCTTTGGGGCCTGCGATCTATGAAGTTGTTTTGCTGACCTTGTGCTTCACAAAATCCCGGCAGTCAACCAACCAATGCTGCTATACCTACCAGAATTCTTTGTGGCCAGGGTTTTTCCCCAGTGTTCTGGAAAACAAATCCCTTGGCCCAACAAGCTAGTTCCAATTTGGAACCAGGGATTCATGTGGGTTTGTTTGCCTTTGAGGTTCGGTCCCCTTAGATTAGCTTGGGAAACCAACAGGACCATCACCACCTGACTGCTATTGGGTTGGATCTTTAGACTTTAACTTTTTGGGAAATCAAGGGGTTTTCCACTAAACCCCCCAAAAGTTAAACGTTTTGCAGGGGGGTCAACAGCAACCAAGGCCAATTTTTCGTTTTTTTTTTTTTTATTTTTTTTTTTGGGGGGGGGGGGTGGGTCTCAAGTCGCAACCCCAAGAAATCGCAAGAAACATGTACGTCAAGGTTTTGTTGGGGAGCAAGTCATGTTGACCGTGGCTCATATGAAGAGCACGATTGGGGACGGTCGGGGCGGTCATTTCCCAAGCGCAGATCAATGTTTTCTTCATTTCGGGGCTCTCCTTGCCACACATTTAACTTCAGCCCTTCTCAACTTGATATCAATCAGGTAGGGGGAGTTCATATGTGTGGTCAAAACAGCCGTGGACCTTGCGCTAGGGATCGTCATAAGCCCCTGAGTGATTTGAGACAAACGTTGTAAGGATAAGGATTCCTGTCAAGGGAACCAACACCATGGCCCACATAAGGAGTTGTGATTGATGCATGATGCACTCTGCGCGCTGAGATGAACCGAGCCCCGCCCGACTCGGACAAAGACAGCGTTTTGCTGAACGGCACGCGAGGCCATTGTGAAACTAGATGACTGGTCAACTGCGAGAGGGGCGGGGGTTTCCTCGCACGTGCTCTGGTTCTAAATTGCAGAGGAACCAAGAGGAACACCACAATTTTTGTAGGAGTTCATTTCCCTTCGAATTTGTTTGGACGGTGGCTTACACTGCGTAAACCTCGGCACACGGTATCTCCAATCATAAGCAGATTGGGTCTTAAGCAGTTTTGGGTAGGTGGCCCGCAACATGGATTGCGGAGTAGCCGTCTTACACGGAAAATAGATCTCAAGGTTACACAACCAGAAGCCTACGCCGTGCGTGGCCAAGTTTGGATGTGCCTTGAAATAGGGGACCCCAACAAGAACCAATCCAACAAAAACAGGTACCCTTCAAAGGACAGGCGCATGTCTTTCGCTGGCTCTTTTGCAGGGCTCTCGAGACCCCTGACCTGGCCGGAGGCCTTCTCTCATACCCTACCAAAAGGAAAGGCAGTTGGGGGTACCTGTTGATTTTTGATACTATTTGTTGGGAATTTGGGTGCCATTTTGGTATACCATTTTGACCCTTTGGAACCTGTTTGTTTGCTATCTTGTGTGAGAGGCTATTCTCATGGGCATCAGCGATTGGACGTCCCATGGCGACTGTCCACCTCCTGAAAAACCAGCTTGAGCGGGCAAAGTTGCCCAACCTGACGTGGTGGCTCTTCTGGAAAGCGTGCTCCAAACAAGAACTGCAGTTGGACAAGGGACCTTTCACTTGTCTTTAACTGTCAGTGACACCCAGCTTGCGATCGGAGGTCTCTTCGAGTCGGCGGCAGCAAAAGACTCGTTCCTCAAGGCGGGGGTTTGAAGATTGGAGCGATATATGCAGATGTGGTGTGCATGCCAGATCTGTGCTGCAGCACGGCTCTCTTTTAGAAGCGTCGATGACGTATACCTAAGAGTATGCGGTGCGCATAACGGGAGGATGAGTTCGGTAAGTCGAAAGATGTCAAGGCAGGGATGATCAGTGTCCGACGCGCACGTCCCATCGTAGCGTAGGCTCCGCTCGAGAATTATTGAAGGTTCGACATGCGGAGAAACACCCCCACCCAAAATGGATTTGATCAACCGTCCACGCGGATCTTGCCGAGTCACCTCCCATTTCCTTTGGACTTTTGGACCTCGTCCCCATGGCATCCCAACATGGGAACCATGGAAGGTTGGGATGAAACCATTTTTTGGAAGCTGACGAGTGTCACTTCACGCGTGTTTGAATGGTTGAAGTACACCGCCACTGTTTTCATGTGTTTTCCCCAGCTATGTTTTTTTTTGTTCGGGATAGGAAAAGCATTGGGGTGTTTTGGAGCGGGATTCGGGCAGGGTTCCGGAGGGTTACGCCCGTATATATTGATGATATATATATTATAACACAATGGTGGTGATGATAATAATCATAATGATATTAATGATAATGACACCAATAAATATTAGCAATCATAATACTAGTAATACTAACAATAGGAATAATCATCACAACAGCAAACATAGTAATCATAGTATATACAGACACCAGTGCTGTGAGTGGTGGTACTTTGGGGGGGAATCCTGCTTACAGAGAGAAAGGGAAAACAGCAAAACCACCTCGAAGAAAACAACCAAAAACAACAACACCAAGAACCTAAGGTCCTCAGGGAGATGTTCAGGAGTCCTTAACCCAAACCAAAAAAACTAAGAAAACCAAAAAGAAGTCCTCAGGGGAAGTCTTCAGGAGTCCTCAGTCAGAACACATGCCAGTACATAGTCTCCAGGATATTTGTTTCGAGTTGTTTTTGGGGTTTGCCCTGTGAAGTCTCTCTTTGCCATTTTCCACGTCAATTTCACATCTGCTCCAATACTGTCCACTACCTTTCCACGTGCTTGTCAAACTGCAATAAACTTTGATTAAACTCCTGTAAGGATTTCCTACTTGAATTAGCACTCAACATAGACATTTAATTCCATGTATATACATGGCAATTATCTTTGATGAAAGTGCGATTTGGAAAGTACTTCCCACTTTAATGCTCAATTAGAATAGGCCGTCAACTGCACATTTGTTTTACAATATAATTAGATGTTGATTTCAATCTTATTTAGCAAATTGTCACTCAACATAGACTTTCAAATTCCATTTACATAGCAATTATCTTGATTAAAGTTCGATTTGGAAAGTACTTCCTACTTTAATCCTCAACTAGTATAGGCATTCAACTGCACATGTTTTGTTCTTCAATTCTATTACAATTATAATCAGATGTTGATTTAAATCTTATTTAACAGGGATTTAGATTGAAGTTCTAATTGATACAGCAAATATATTTGACCTATTCCCTTACTAAGTTCTATTCATGGACAGGATGCTTTACTTAGTTTTTAGCTAGACAGGAGTCTAATGTAATTCGTTCCATATTAAATTCTATGCACTTTCTGCTAGTTACTGTTAGTTTCCGCATCACACATATCGAAAGGACTTCTCCTTTCATTCTCGTTCAACATAGACATCCTAATAGACTTTGTTCCTTGAAACACTGATTAAACCTCAATTGGAATCCAATTTGGCATATGGAGCCGTATAAGGAGTTTTGAAGGGAAGCTTTTTACAGAGCTTTAACAGGAGCTGCATAAGAAGCCCCCTTTTCAAGGAGTATAAGGAGCTTTATAAGAACTTGAACACGTGCATCATCAGCTGCAAAAGGAGCCTGAAATGCAGCTTTGCAATGACCCTTGTAAAAATCTTTGTCATGAGCCTCAAAAGGAGCTGTACAAGCATCTTTGCAAGGAATTGTACAAGGAGCCTTTAAGGAGCCTTAAACACAGCTTTGTGATGAGTCGCGTAAGGAGCTTTAATTGAAGCTTCATTTAAACAGTCTTTTTAGCAGCCAAGTGAGCTTCAAAGGGAACTTTGCAAGCAGCTTTGTAAGAATTTTCCGCAGACGCAAGCTCATCCATGGGGAAGGAGGCAAGGGTGATGCTCTGCGCATCGCAAGACCTGCACAGGAACCCATCAACCAAGTCCCTCATATCCTCGTAGGTCGTGTCTTTGGCTTCCAAGGCCATGATGACACAGAGGAGCCGGTGAAGACAAGATGAGCGAAGGAGTTGCAAAGATGCTGCGACAGAAGCAGATGCCAAGCTGTCATTCACTCTATGCGTGCCCAAACAGTTGCTTATTTCCTCTTATGAAACAACATGTGTTTTAAGCGTAAAATACCGCCACTCAGGGTATTGGCCCTTCAAGAAATAATAGATGGTACCACTGCTAGTGCTACTTCTACTGTAGTAGTAGCAGTGTAGTAGTAGTAGAAGTAGTAGTAGTAGTAGCAGTAATGGTAGTAGCAGAAGTACTATTAGTAGTAGTAGTAGTAGTAGTAGTAGTAGTAGTAGTAGTAGTAGTAGTAGTAATAGTAGTGGAGTGGAAGTAGCAGGAAGGTGGTAGTCGTAGTACCAGTTGTGCTAGTAGGAGTAGTCGTACTAGTAGGAGTAGTCGTACTAGTAGTAGTAGTAGTAGTAGTAGTAGTAGTAGTAGTAGTGGAGTAGTAGTAGTAGTGGTAGTAGTAGTAGTAGTAGTACTAGTACTAGTAGTAGTGTGGCCAGCACTTGTGGTTTGTCCGGAGACTTCTCTTCCGGGGGGCCTCGCGCATTCAGATTCCCTGGCGCTTGCCACTGTCTTAGCACCTGCGCGTGATATCGAACGGTCTGCCCTTAGAACATCGGCAAGCCTTCGCCGACGCGCGCAACTGCGCAGGGTGCATATTTTGGGACTACCCTAAGCTCAGCCAGAAGTCAAGCGACCTGCCATCCGGCCAACTGACCCATGTAGTCTCCTTTTTTTTGGTGTGCTTGCGGCAGGTGTGAGTCGCAGAGGTTCCTCGTTACCATGTAGGTCTCTCTGATTGCACAAGGATTTGCAGCCGCATGTGGTGTCGTGTCCCTGAGTGTGGGTCAGGTGAGTCTTAGCCAATGCGACCTGACAGGGCTCCTTAGGAGGAAACTGATCTTCCACAGGTGCTATGTTAGTGGATGGGAGGGTGTATGTATGTATATATGTATGTATATATATATATGATATGTACATATTCATATGGGATACCCTGCAAATACGTAGGGCCGGCCCCTCTCAGGGTCTCGCCGGCCAGCGCGCGGCCGAGCTGCAGCACATTTGCAGCGGCTCAGCGGAATTCAATGTGAGGAGCGCGTGGCTTTTTTGTCTTCTTGGTGGATGTTTAAGAACTCACCCTCAAGATGAGTTTTGTTTGGTCGTTGAAGTTTTCCTCGAAACAACACACATGCGTGTTTTTGCTTGCGGGGGGGCGGGGTTCTACTGTGGGGGTCTATGTTTTGCTGGTTTTCAGGAAGTTGAGAGCGGTTTTTGTGAAGGAGCCTGGGGATTTGTTCAAAGGAAGCCACTTGGATGGCTCATAGGGCGTCCCCGAAAAGGAACATGGTCCAGTACCCCCTGTGCAGATTTTGGTGGCCGGTTTTGGTTTGTGTTCAGTGGCACCAATTCTTTTTGCTTTTTTGGTGGCTGCCCCACTAAAATGGTCTTCGCCAAAAGGCTTCCCTTTTTTCCAGGGTCGCTGATTTGGTTTGATGCTTGTTCTAGTTTGCCTTTCTTCATGGTGAATCAAGAAGGGAAAAATAGCTTTGCGTTTGGAGTCCCAGCATTTTTAAGGAATACAAACTGGAAGCTCGCACGATAGGTTTCCAGCAATATAGTTATACTACCATGAAGTGCCCCACCCCTTCTTGCCTTGCTATGCTTTGGTTGCGAGCTTTGCTCGAGGGGTGTTGGCTCCAGCAACCCAGAAAATGATCCGTCAACATTTTCTCGGGTGCCGCTGGCACTCGGCTTCGGTTTGGGACCGGTTCCGCGGGCAAGTCAAAACGCGCCTGAGACCTCAGTTGTTGGGGTGACACCGGAAGGGGCCCGAATTTTGATTCAAGTGGGTGTGGCTCAAAGTTAAGGGTTCAAGGTTTTGCAGGTTTTGGTCTTTGGTACCGTTTTTGGCACATGTTTTTGAGCCATTGCCAAATGTCCAACGACTCAGGTGACCGCTTCTTTCAGACGCACGTGGTGATCGGCGGCTCAGCAGCAGATGACTGGAGCTAGCTGTATTCGCAGTTCTTCTCGCTTGCTCTTGGGCACGGCCAAAAGAAGCCGTGGACTTTTCGGACCATGGCTAGCAACAAGTCAGATGTTTTGGAGGGGACCACCAGCCGAGTTTTGGAGTCGTATAAAACTGGATGCCTTTGATTCGACTGGCTTTGAACTCCTCGCAGTGTGGACTCGAGACGGGGTGCTTTTTCAACCGGTTCTAGCTCACACAAGGAGAACTCACTGGTTGGCAGGGAGCCAAGGAGCTGGGTAGAACGAAATTTGATGTGTTTGTTTTTCCGGATTTTCCTATCAGCGATCGAGCCCGTTGAATGGCCCCCTTAACATTCATGGCTTTAGTTGGGTGTGGTCAAGGTAGGGTCATTCCAAAATTCCTGGTGTCCTTTGAGATTCCCCCACAAAACCGAACCCAATTCTGGGGCGCCTCAAAAAAGAACGGACCGCACCTTGCTTGCTGCCTTACGCTTGGCGTCTGAACGCCAGGGGACGACCCACACAAGGTGCCGTTCGGAGACACAGAGGCGCTTGGACGCCCAGAAGGGGTAGGCCATCGCATGCGTTGGCCATGTTTCGAGCGACGAGAGTTCTTGCCGGGCTCCCAATTTTTGGGTCCCCGCAAAAAGTGCTTGCTCTACTTTGTTGTTTTGTTTTGGGGGGGGGAGGAGGGATCCTTCTTTTGGGAACATGGCCAGATAGGGATGGGTTGGATTGGTGAAAAGACGTGGGGTACCCTCAAAGTAGCTGGTCAGACCTTGGAAGAGTAGCGGCAAGCTGCAATCCATTGGCAGAGCAGTTTAAGTCATTTCCCTGATAGGTGTCTTGCACACGTCCACACATACACACATACACGCATACACGCGTACACACGTACACACACACACACACATGTGCATGTATGCATAGACATATGTGGCAGTCGTCACGTCGTCCGAAGGCCCTCGTATTGAGAGATGAGGTTTGGTCGTCTGTATTTGCATCCGCGAAAGTCCGCGGTGGAGCTCGTGAAACATTTCGCACATTCACGTCCCACGGCCTTTTCCACTGTTCTGGTCGACGCCTCGATGACTTTGGGGGGTGGGGCTGGGTAAAACGTACGGGGCACAAGTTGCTCGGACGCCTGCTGTTTTGTGGTTTAGTCCCGGACACACCTTCCCTTAGTATCACGCAGGCAGATAATTGACTTTTATATATGCCTAACGTGTGTCATTGATGAATTTTGCTGATTGCGACTGTCCCGCGGAAGGCTCCAAGACTACGACGCGCACTTCAGTTTTGTGAGCCATAGTTCGCTGCAGTTTGCCAACAATGTTTCCTTGCCTCGGGATCATTGAAAGGTTGGAAAGACGTGCAGGGGTGGCTGCCACCTTGTGTCATGCTAAGAAGAAGGGCGGGCTGAATCCCGAGGGGTGGCGATACTTGCATAAATGCCAATGGCGGTACAACACGCGTGTTTGCTTGTAGGAAGCAATGCCGAAATTATTTCACGCTCAGAAATCCTGGTTTTGGCCGGTGTTGTGAATTCCTCCACGCCGTTGGTGGCGGCGTAACCTTGTTTGTTGCTTTTTGCGCGAAGACTGTCAATTCCGGGAACAATGATTTTCAGACGACCGCAAAACAGTTGCCCAAAGCCGACCTTCTCACCTTTTGGTTTCCGTGATCTGGCCCACGTTGTAGCCAAGGTTCCAAAAGCTGAACCTTGTAATTTGAGGTCCTTTGTGCAAGTGTCCCTATACACATACATTTTACACATCAGTCTGTTTCGGTCTGCTCAGCACCGTGTGGGTATCCCGCACCTTTTTGTCTGACAGGAAGCCCATCCCCATCACATATGCAAGCTCCATGCAGCAAGGTGTGAATCATCTTGAAATGCCAATCGCTCATTGCAACGTAAATGGGAAAGCACCTCGTTTTTTATGTGTTCGAAGATGATCCCGGTGCATGTCTTCGAACATGAGCCGAAAAAAGGGTGATCGCAAATGATCCCCGTCCCACAGACCTCCCCCTGGGCGGTCATCTGCGCTGGCACGAGTTGACGGCGGAGGGCGGGCTGCTGTTGCGCCACCGGCTTGACGCTTTGCCACCAGGAAACAAATCATTGCTCTTTTGAGCGGTGCTCCCTTCCTTCCTTCCTTCCTTAGACCTGGATGGAGGTTGCCGCTTGGCAATCAACCACTTTGGTATACAAGTTTTCGGGTTTCCCAAATGTAACTTTCTATTCAGGCGGGTCGACAAACTGGTGACGATGCCTAGTGCTCCAGTCACTGGGGTCTCTACTTACCTAGCACTGAAATCCGCACCCCGCCGGCTTCGCCTTGCCGAGGTTCGCCAAGGTGGTGCCTGAGGTCCGCCTCGGCCTGGACCAGGCGAACGGCGCTCGCCGAGAGACCGGTGGCTCGCGACGTGTTTTTTTTGTTAGTTTGTTTTGTTATATATATATATATATGTATGTATGTATATATATATATATGTATATATACATATATTTGTATGTATACATACATACATACATACATACATACATACATACATACATACATACATACATACATACATACATACATACATGGTCAGGCCGCCCATGAACTACCTTTCCTTCTTTCTTCATAAAACGACTGCAAAAAAAGGCCTGAGCTTGTATATATATATATATATATATTTATTTATTTATTTATATTCGGAGTTGGTGAACCTTTTTGTTTCAGGGTGGTGGTTGAGCACTCAGGGTTTATCCAACCATTGCGATACTTTTGGGAAGATTTGTCCACTGTCATACTGTTGGGAGTCTTTTCCTGGGGGTTGGTCTTTGGGAAGCCCTTTCTGTTGTATCACAGATTCGTGGATTCCATTTCAAGAAAAGCCCTGTTTTGGTTTCACAGGGAAACCCAGAGGACCACCCAAGTTTTTGTGTTTTTTTTGGGGGGGGTCCGATTCCGAAAAGAAGACACACGAGCCAGGATTTTCCGTGGCCACGGTGGAGCTAGAGTAATGACTATGGGTCCTTGGCGCCAGAGCTCCAAAGCCCCCCTAGGCCTAGCGTTGAAACAATGCTAGGTCTCCCAGTAGTGCCCTTTTACGAACTTTTTGGTTGGGAGGGTTCCCCGACTACAGAAAAAAGTTGGTACCCTTATTCTAACCTCTCTACTGGAGGACACAGCACGGCGGCGGAAAGGCAACATCAGTTCAAGAGCTCATTCCCAGCCTGTCAAACCAGCAAGTTCTGTTCCAAGGCCATCTATTTTTGTCCAAAAGGCCACCTATGCCTGCCAACTCAGCTGCAACTCACACGAACCGGAAGGGGCCGCCTCTTGTGGACGCCGAGACGAATCCGTCGGGTGTGGCCCCCTGTTGTAGGAATCGGAGCCCGCCAAAGTGGCGCAACGGAGACCTTGAAAACACCGCGCAGATGGGGTCGCTTTGGAAAAAGACACCTTATTTGGGTATCAAAATCAATCCAGCACGTGGACCGCAAGTTTTCGCGATCCACAGCCGTTTTGGGTCTGTTATCCATTTTGTCAAGACCTCGTTGGAAGGCATACTCGTCCCAGGTGAATTCGGCATGTTGGGCGGGCGCAAGTCTTTGGCTCGATGCGAACCTCGCGAGGATCTTCCCAGCAATCCCGGAATGGTAGCCCTTCATGTGGCTGTGGGTCATGTGCACCACCCATTCTAGTCGGGATTGGGATGTTCACTACTGATGGCTTTTGACCCATGGCCACGCGGGCTCTACGGACTCACTCCACTGGTCTCGCATTCCGGGCAAACTCGTTGGTTGTTCCCCCACGCTGAAAATGGGTCGATAGGATAGGTGGTTCGGGGCAGCTTTCAGGGGTTCAATGAGGACCAGGAAGGGTTCCCAGGTTTGGGGCTGTTGGGGATAGCACCTGGGTGAACATTCAACAGATTTGGACAAGGTCGTTTTGTCTCTCTCGTGGCTTCTGGACACGTGTCATGGACTCATTTTGAATGGGCCACATAGGCTAGGGAACCGTGCGCTAGGCCTTCGACGAATACAGCCTGAAGAAAGACGGCCTCGTCAGGACCTCATGCTGCATCCCATCCCATTTGTTCATCTTACTTTGTCCATTTCTTAGCGTAGCCGTTTCAAGAGCGGTTTTTGCCTACCCTACTACCCGTTACACAGAGCTGTGACCATTTCATTTGGACACATGTGTTGGCTGGTTCTAGGGTTGCCCAGAGTAAATAGACTGGATTTGGGGGAGCAGACTGGTTCCCCAACCAACACTCTCTACCTGCCATCTTCCGGACAGCGTGCAGGCGCGCTGCCGTGCACTTTGGGTGGTAGCACATGATTTGTTTGATTTGTAAAAGGGACACCGAAAGGATTGTCTAGCAACTTTTCCAGACCCTGTTTCTTCTTGAGGGCCGCCTTTTTCTCGGCGTCCTTCTAATTGGCGGTTTGGAGTTCGGCGGTTAAGGGGTGGTGTCCCACTTACCCTCTGCCATAACCACCCTAAACCATCAGTCCAAACCACCAATTCAATGAAGGCTGATCTTTGGGGCTTGTTTAACCCAAAAGAAAACCATTCCGAGAACGCCCCCTTGGCACGTTTACTCAGGGCAGCGTGCTGGAGACGGTTACGAACATCGAGAGGGAGCAGCATCTCGGCCCAAAAGCTCGCGCTGCAAGACATGGCATAGGCGTCGTTCTGAGCTAGAAATAATGGGTTCCAGTGGCTTAGATTGTATTGCATGTACCAGGGCCATCTAGTTTTCGAAAAGGTCGTATCCATCGGGAGACATTCTGGTGAATTCGAGGATGCAATTCGAGCACATGCAGTCGAGTCAAGAGATGCGAGTCACAGCAGCGCAAGCCGAGTCGAGTTGGCTTTTCCCTAGCTACTCTCACAGGGCAAAGTAAATAATAGCCTTTCTCAAACGTCACTGATGGCACATACGTCTCCGAGGCGTCCATCAGAGCTATCACCAGCAAGCATTCGAAGACTGGATGGGCTGCTTGCACCCCCTGCTGTTGTGGTGGTGTCGGGGTGAAACTGACACTCAGCACACAGCCCCCGAAGAAAAGACACGCAAACACAGACCACCACACAGCAAAAGGACCCCAAGTTGGGTTTCCGCGGGCGAACCCCCTCAAACAAGAAGCAGGAAAGCGCACAAGCAGGGGAGCCAAGGTTTCTAGGGTCTCCGACGAGGGGAACAACCCTAAACAGCGCAAACGGCGAAAGCCTCGTAGACGAAAAGCGCCTCAGGCCATCCCTAGACCGTCAAAGGGGAGGAACACGATCGAGCGGAAGGGGAAGTCCAGGAAAAAGCAAAGACAGCAGGGAGAGAAGGAGGAGAAGGAGGAGGAGGAGGGAAGGGGAGGAGGAGGAGGCAGAGGAGGGAAGGGAAGGAGGAAGAGGAGGGGGAGAAGTTACATCGCGTAGAGGAGGATGCCATCCCCCGCAGAGGCCAAGTGCAGACGCGCCAGCAGCCAAAGGAACAAGTACAAGACATCAAGCCAAACTGCGGGAGGAGGGCGAGGAGGGCAAGCTGGAAGGCAGATACGGAGAGAACTGCGAGGACAAAGGGAAACCGCTCGAAGACGAAGAGCGATGAAGAAGACATGCAACACAGCTCAGCGCAATAAGACCAAAAGCAGCAAATGAAATCTTGGGAGATGTATTTTTGTAAAATCACGAACCTGAAGCTTGCAACCGTCTGTGTCACAGGTAACGGCAAAGCCGTCCCGGGGCTACTCAATGGATGCACCCGGGGATCTCCCCGCAGGAATGAACGCACTTAGACTCCAGAGGAATTCAAGTAAGCAATTCGAGCTGCATTCGAGTCAAGAGACACGAGGCACGGCAACGCAAGCCGAGTTGAGTTGGCTTCTCTCTAGCTACTCGAACGTCTCTCAGACAGCACGCGTCCGGTGTCTTCGTTGGTGCATGACCGGATGGGCTGCTTGTACCCCCTGCTGTGCATTGTGGTGGTGTCAGGGTGCAACTAACACTCAGCACACACACACACACACACGCACGCACGCACGCACCCAGGCAGGCAGGCAGGCAGGCACGCAGGCACGCAGGCACGCAGGCACGCACGCACGCACGCACGCACGCACATACCCACACACACATAAACAACACGCACACGCACACGCACACGCACACGCACCCGCACCCGCACCCGCACCCGCGCCCGCGCCCGCACCCGCACCCGCACGCGCACGCGTGCGCGCACGCGCACGCGCACGCCCACGCCCACGCCCACGCCCACGCCCACGCCCACGCGCACGCACACCCACACCCACACCCACACACCCACACACCCACACACCCACACACCCACACACACGCACACGCACACGCACACGCACACGCACACGCACACGCGCACGCCCACGCACACGCACACGCACACGCACACGCACACGCACACGCGCACGCGCACGCGCACGCGCACGCGCACGCGCACGCGCACGCGCACGCGCACGCGCACGCGCACGCACGCACACACACACGCACACGCACACCCACACGCGCACGCGCACGCGCACGCGCCACCGCACACGCGCACGCACACGCACACAACGCACACGCACACGCACACGCACACGCACACGCACACGCACACGCACACGCACACGCACACGCACACGCACACGCGCACGCACACGCACACGCGCACGCGCACGCACGCGCACGCGCACGCACACGCACACGCACACGCACACGCACACGCACACGCACACGCCCACGCCCACGCACACGCACGCGCACGCACGCACGCGCCCGCACTCATCACGCACGCACGCACGCACGCACACACGTACGCACGTACCCACCCACACACACACAGACACACAGACACACAGACACACAGACACACAGACACACAGACACACAGACACACACACACACACACACACACACACACACACACACTTATCTCGAGAGGCTGCTCTTGCAGACACGCGATTGTACTGAAAGGGCATGAAAAAATCAATCTGCAGTGCAAATGTCACATCATCGAAACCGAACATGAAGCAAACAGTGGTAAACCGAGGAAACACATTAGGTCACGAAAGGATGGCAGGTACGCCGGAATGGCCAATTCCGGTATCCCGTCTTGCTGCCTAGCTTTGTTAGACCAGGTCAGCAGCAAGACGCCTGGTCCCCCTGCAATGTGGAATTTCCGTCCGTGCTCCAGGACGCTTCACACACACGGAGCCCCAACTGGGGCGACATCACTTGTGCAAGGCCCATTGAGTCTTGCAAGCATCAATTGTGCGAGAAAGTCTTGTGGCGATGACTGACCACACATACTTGGCTTTGGAATTGGTCTTAAGGGAACGGAGGAGTTCAATCTCTCCCTCAGTCCAAGGCTGCGAGGCTTCAGGTTCGGCCTCAGTAGAGGCATCAGTCCTGGTCGATGTGGTAGCTTCGCTTGGTCCACGAGCAGGTTTTGGATGCCGTAGATCGTGAGGAGGCCAAATCACGTGCGCGGCGAGCTCGTTTTTCGCCGGGAGAAGACGGAGGAGGGGTGGGCGGAGCCCAATGATCAGGGAATTGTTCGTCATGATCAGTGGGAAGGTGTTCATCTGGAGCATCAGGAGGTGGCTCAAAGAGGTCCTCGAGGGGGGCCAGGAGGGGTGTTGGTGGTGAGTTGGTCAGGTCCTCAATGGCGGGGTTGGGCGTGGCCTCCGGTGCCAAATCAGGTTCGGCAGTCGGACTCTCAGTGAACTCGCGGATGGTGGCGATGCCTTGCTGGGCAATGCCAAGGATGAGTTCGAAGTCTTGGAGCAGCTGGCGTGCTGTGTTGGTATCCATGCTCGCAACGGATTTTGGTCAAACAGTCAAACAGCTGCGGCACGAAAATCAGGTCAAATCTGTCAGGATGCAAAGGCAGAGAAGAAAACCAGTGTGGTTTCGCAAAGGACGGTTTTTCTTCTCTTTGTAAGGTGAAACCGTGTTGGAGGTACAACCTCTTCAACATTGCAAGATCCTGATCTCGCTGAAATTC